ACGTAATCGGTTACCCTATTTCTGGAAACCGATTACACCTGTAGCAAAATCACTTTTCTGCTGCTTATCAGTATGAAAAACAATTTTTAACCCACCCAAAAATCACAAATTTCATACAGAATGTGTAATCCATTATTTTACTCAAAATCAGTTTTCATCAACACAAAAATCCCAATTTCTTTCCCCGAAAACACCTAAAACAATTATTTCGACTCTGACTTGCAGTTTCACTCAACAACACTACCACAACAACAATCAAACATCGATTAAAAAAATTAACAACAACCACAATTGCATCAATTTCATCATCTACTACGATTCTAACAACAACATACAACATCCCTCATAATCATCCAATTCAACAACGACATTCCATCAGAAACATGAATAAAGGAAAAAATAGCACAAGACCTACATGAAAGAGTCTACCCGCAATATCATCATACTAACCCTTAGCTAGTTAGAATCTCAACCTTACCTTAGAGTTCTTGCAACGATTTCTTCTTCCTCATTAATGGATTCCTTTTCCCTTGCCTAGCTCTCACCTCACATTCTTTCTTCAGTTTCTCTTAAAAACACATACGAACCAATATTCCTCTCCACTTCCTCTTTTCTTTTCTTATTATTATTATTATTATTATTATTATTATTATTATTATTATTATTATTATTATTATTATTATTATTATTATTATTATTATTATTATTATTATTAATTCTACCAATTAAATTATAATAACAATATCCACTAATTATTTAAATTAATAAAATTAATCTAATATTACTAATATTATTTGATTAGTCATTCTCACCACAACACCACGTTCTACAAAATTAGCCACACACCTTTCACCCTTAAAATCATTACTTCTAAGGTCACTACCCCTACCATAGGATGCCCCAACATAATAAAATACACATAATCACATACAATAACATAATTTTAATTACGAAAAATAATTAAAATAAAACAGGCGTTACAATATGGATATCCTTGGAACTTCCCCACTAGCCTATAGGTAATTAAAGTTTCTCATTGTGGTTTCAGATTAAATCATTAAATGAATTAAAGCAAATACCTTAGCAAATGTCGACATAGGAAGAAGGGACCACACTAAGGAAATTCTCCATGGGGAGGCTATCCCAAAAATGTGGAACACGACTAAGGTGAAACACTATTATATTTAAGTCGCTTCCTTATGTTGAATTCAAAAGTCTTAAGTAAAATATCTACAGTGTAAATGTCTCCATTAGAAGTTTAATATATTTTATTTTCACCAAGGTTTAGTTTGCATTATTATTGCATGAATGACAGGGTAAAGCTCAAACTCTTTATGCTAGAATTAACCCTCAAATTCATATAACGTGTTACATTAAAAGGAAAAGACAAAGAAGCTTTAAACCTCGGACGCAAAGGTGGCACACAAGTTAAATACTTTGAACACAAAGGTGACACACAAGTGAAAGATATCAAAATTTGAACACGAATGTAATGCACACACAAAGAAAGCATAAACCTTAACATGGATATGGTGCATAAGGCTAATCCCCACCAGTATCTATCCACTATAGTGTGAGAGAAATAAGGCCAATTATGTCGTCTTTGAACTAAGTTTTCATTTGGTGGTAGGGAAGGGAAATGAGACCCTCGGTTGGGCTAGATCCTTGGTGATGTCTAATAAATTAATTAGATTAAGTTCGCAGAAAGGTTACAAGAATCGGGGACATCAATCTTAAAAAGGGAAAATAAGAAACAAATATGAAATCTCATTATTTTATTCATTCATTCAAAATCACCTAACTTATTGCTGCAAGAAGTAAACAAATCATTGCACCATGACAAGAGATAAAACAAGAAAGATCATTTATTTATTAGCATAAATCATAGGAAGGGTGCCAAAGGCTGATACAAATGTTCTTCATAAAGGGAAAACCAAAAATTTTGTATCATATAATTTACAAACAAGAAAAAGATATCTAAGAAGTTATTAGAGCATCACCAAAGGGAACAAGCTTTCCATATATGACTTCCTGCTTAACACGAAACTTCTCCCTTGAAATATTTATGTTAGGATAGAGAAGATCCATAAGATTTAAAGCAATATCAAATGAAACTTGCATAACACTGCATCCATTCTCAATGCCAGTCGCACATTGATTATGTAGAGAGATTTTCTCGGCTTCCACCGTCTTCAGGTGCCACATTATCTTCTCCAAGTCCCTTTGCAATTTGAGCAAGGCCGTCTTCGACTCCCTTAAGGCGTTTCCCATGTCCTCCATGATTTTGTAAGCATAAATAATGGATTCATTGCCCTCGTCCAAAGTGGTCTCAGTTTTAGATAAAGTCATTTGTACCTCATCCAAGGCCTTTTCCTTCTCAATAACAAACTTTTCAAGTTCTTTCACCCTTTTATCAAAGATAGAGGGAGAACTAAACTTTTTCACCTCTTCATAAACATCCTTCAAAAGTTTCTTCCCCTCTTCAAGCTCCTTATGAAGTTTATCCCTCTCAAGGAGAGTAGAGTCCAAACGATTTTGCAAAACCTCATTCTCCCTCTAAATCACGATAAATACATAACAAAAACCTAATGAAAATTTTAAAGTACCTAGAAATCCATAAGGACTTCTATCCTCACTAAATATTTTTTGCCTATCTTCTTTGGTGGCCGCCTTTACTAACATACCAGTTTTGAGACAATGCTTCTTTTGCTTTGGCGGATTGGTACCAAAAGGTTAATCCTCATCAACGGGACCAAGGTCTCCTCAAAACTTGAGAAGACTGGTAATCTAGTATTCCTCTTCTTGTGAGAGGTCGCTCGACTGGTAAATGTATGTTCTCAGACCTAACAAAAAAAGATTTTGCTGCTAGAATTTCAAAAAAACACACAAATATTAGAAGACCTTAACATAAGCAAAACTCACAAGGTAAAATTGCGAGGGGGAAATTCCTATATGATTTATAATCCTGACTTAAAGATCATTAAAAATGAGCATGAGCCTCATCTTTGAGAACAAACATTCAGGCATGGATAACTCACACCCATCAAATTGAATGCATAATCTCTTACATAGGTCGATGTACAATACTACCTAGTCAGATGACAAACCTACATCCTAGTAGAAATTTTATTTTATATGTTCATCATTAAAGATGATTTTCGTCCATAAAATTTATTATTACATCCAAGGGTATTCATCAATATAAGCAAGGAGCTCAAGATCTTGTTGTCTTCGTTGGACCATTTCGACCTCATTCCCAACAAATAGAAAGTTTTGACAATGAGTAAAAGCAGGCTATTGTGATTATATCCACATTTTTATTAGGATCACAATCAAAGGAGCGCAATGGGCTTTAATGAAAACTTGGGTCTTCCATTTGTAGTTAAGTTTGTTTATAGTTTCTTGGTTTGACATATGAAGTCCAGGGAAATCAAAACCACGGGCAACCTCACTAATGTCAATCCTAGTAGTAGCAGGTTCCTCACGTCTACAAACTTTATGGGATGTCTTGCTTCTAAATACAACACCTCTAAGTTTTCTAGATTATCACTTCAATATGAGATAAAGCATCACTGATTTCATCATCTATACTTAAATCTATGAAAATGATGTTTGAGTGTCCTACATTGGTCATGATTGAAAAACAAATGCAAACAACAGAAAAGGGAAGGTGAGAGAATGGTACCTTGAATAATTATGCAAGTTCTGAAGATTCAAGAGCAAAGCAACAAGAAGCATAATTCCAAAAACCCTGAAATATAGCTTACAATTGATGACGAAGAATGAAGAACACAAAAAGATCGTAATAGGAACAAATCAACAAAATTACAAGAAGACAGAGACATTTATGGGACTCGGAACCAATGGAACATGAAAAAAAAAACAACTTTAGTATCCCAATTTATAGACAAATGAGCACTAGAGGTAAATGGTCAAGAATCAGTGAAGCATCAAATGTCAGTATTAATGGCTAAGACGGAACCTCATTTTTGCAACGACACTCAAGTACCCTAAGTGCGTCTCTTCCCTACCCTAGGCGCACGAAGCCTTCCCCAAAGCAAGCAATGTTTCGATGACATGATACAAATTTAATGTGCATGTTTCTAATACTTTAAACTCCCACTTAGCTGCTCAACATAACTCTTATTTTCCCTAAAACACTTTTTAACTAAATTACATTAACGACAGAACTCACCTAGGGACCAATCTCAAGACCTTTACATTACCAATACTCGTTTCTCGACTAATAGTAAGAATTTGGAAGGAAATTGTTTTGAGTTATAAGTGTCCACTCAAATGATGAATAGGTGGACGGTCATACAGAAATATGAAATACCACATTAGAGCGTGGTCTGCCATCTTCACCTTTCCAACTAAAAAAATATTGTAGAGTTTTGATAAATATTAAAAAATAACTAAACTGTTATTACTAAAATATATTATTAACTAACCCTAGTGTACGAAATTCAGAATAAATCAATAAAACAAAATATTTTGCATATTTCTCTATACTTGCACACATAAACAATTTAGTCGAACGAACGACGTAAACAAATATTTTACATGTTTTTTTCTACTCTGACATATTTGCGTAACTCTTCCTACAAACATGTTTAAAGAATAAAATAACTATAAATGTACCCCACATCACATAGACACTTTGTGTCAAAAATTAATTTCACTTTACTAATTGTGTGCACAATTAATAAAAAAGCCAAAATCCAAAACGTTCCTAGATAGGAATAGTTGCTATTTTCATAGGCAACCAAAGTTTTCTGATTAGACAAAAACATCACTTTTTATGAAATTGGAAAACTTAGTGTTAAGTTTGCACGTGCGACACCACCCACCAAGTCAACAAAAGTAACTGGTTGTTAGATTAGAAGCCTTAAATTTAATACACTCCTAAAAGAGTTAGGTAGAAATAGAGGCTCTCATTTGTTCTCATTTCTTTACAAAAAGTCCAACTTTGTGACATTGAATTGAACAAAGAAACAAAAATGGTAGGAGGAGGAGAAAATGAAAAGAAGATGAAAATACTATGCCTCCATGGATTCAGAACCAGTGGCAGTTTCATCAAAAAACAAATCAGCAAATGGGATCCTTCTATTTTCTCTCAATTCCATATGGTAATAATACTAATTTACTAATCAATAATTTTAATTAATTACACCAAAATTATGACATTCTATTGCTGATCACAGGAATTCCCAGATGGAAAATTTCCTGCTGGAGGAAAATCTGACATAGAAAGCATTTTTCCTCCACCTTATTTTGAGTGGTTTCAATTCGACAAGGTATAGAAATGTTATAAACGGCATAATTTATTGTCTGTTTGTCTGTTATTTCTGTATAATATTTTAACTTATTGCGTGTTTGTCTGTTATTTCTGTATAATATATTTCAGGATTTCACTGAGTATACTAACTTGGAAGAATGCATCACATACTTGAGTGAATACATCATAGCCAATGGTCCCTTTGATGGATTTCTTGGGTTCTCACAGGGTGCAACACTTTCAGCACTTTTAATAGGTTATCAAGCACAGGGAAAATTGCTAAAGGAGCATCCACCTATAAAGTTTTTTGTATCAATATCAGGATCTAAGTTTAGAGATCCTAGCATATGTGATGTTGCATATAAGGATGTTATCAAAGCTAAATCGGTTCATTTTATTGGTGAGAAAGATTGGTTGAAAATTCCTTCTGAGGAACTTGCTTCTGCGTTTGATAAACCTGTTATAATACGGCATCCTCAAGGTCACACTGTGCCAAGATTAGGTAATGCTCTCATTCATGGTGTCTAGTCTACTACTACATGCTATTATGGATCTGATACATTAGTTATTCAATGAATATGATAAGAAAATATTTGTTTATAATAGTACTTGCTTATTTTTAAACGCTCCGTTTATAATTGAGGTTTTCTTGCACTGCTTAAACAGATGAAGTTTCTACTGGTCAGTTGAAAAATTGGGTTGCGGAAATCGTTAGCAAAGAAAAGGTTGGTGTCTCAGTTTGTGAGCATGAAAGGAAGGAAGAAGTTGATAGTACTAATGGGGTGGAAATAAGCAAGGGAAATGCTGAAACCATAGAAGTGGTCGAAGCCGGAAAATTTTAGCTTATGAGGAAGGGACTTGAATCTGATTCAAATTGTGTTTTTAGTAGTTTGATGTTTCAGTTGTTTTTCTGGAGATTGGTGTTTTGGCTGCTTAATAAGTTCTTCTATCTTAAGTTTCTAATTAGATTTACAATTTCAGCTTCTCATTATGGAAGAAAATTCTAAAAGGAATGCCTTGATTGTTTCTCAGATACACATGCTTTACAAAATTGTTTAGGAGGCGGAATAATCTGTAACATGTAAAGTGACTTGAAATGTTTCATTCATTGGCAATAGATTTTGCTTGTCTTTTCCTGGCCAACATTCATCATCAAAGTGACTAAACCATAGTCTCATAAACTGCAAATTGGTTCGCGCATACCAATTTGCAATGCTTGCTTTTACAAATTGGTTGTTAGAAATTCATAACAAATTCGCAGACATAAGCGTACTGATTGACATAAACATATCAATATATATCACAATAAGATGACCAAAGATGGGCCATTGCCACTGAAGAATAGAGAGTGATCTGCTAGGGACTGTTCAAAACCTATTGAAGTAAGAGTTGAGCTGAACTTTTGATACCACTGTCTGGATGCTTGCCTCAATCCATACAGTGACTTGTTATTTTACACACCAAGTTCTCTCCCTTATGGAGCTGCGTATATACTTGTTCAGATTGATCCCCATTAAACAAAGCATTATTGATGTATAACTGAATAAAATTCCATTATTTCTATGCAGCAATAGAGAGTAAAATTCTCACAGTGGTAAGCTTTGCTACAAGAGAAAAAGTGTCTAAAAATTCAACTCCAGCTTGTTGAGTGAAAACCTTGGGCAACTATCTAGAGATCCATCATCTCGATATTTAACCTTGTATATTCACCTACACCAACAACCTTCTTCCCTTTGGGTAATGGTTGAATAGACCAAGTGTTGTTTGCTTCCAATGCAGAAATCTCTTCTGCCATGGCATGTCTCCATTCAGGACTAGAAGCAACTTTATGGTAAAAAGAAGGTTCATAAATGGTGAAAAGTTGACATATGAAATGTTTGTATGAAGGTTCACAAGTGATGTTGAATATGGTATTTTACATGACATTTGAAAGTCTTGTGCACTCTAGAGGATCTCCTAAGTTGTTCACTTTGTTCAACAGGTAATGTTAGGGAGTCAGCACTGGGTGCAACAGGTGACGTGTCAATAGGCTCATTATTAGCCACAAGATTTGGGTTTGTAGTGCATATAGGATCCACAACAGGCTTTGGAAGCACTGTGTCAGGAAATAAATTAGGTAAATAGGTGGGGGCTATGATTGAGTGGAAAGGAAAAAATGGATTCGAAAAGTGACATCTCTAGTAATCAAAATTTTTTGAGCTTTCATAAAACTAGTAGTTTATAACCGAGTTTTTTTTTACATAAACTGAAATAATAAGTCCGAAATTTTTTTTACCAAACTATAATGATTTTTTTTAGGGTCGTTCTTTTATTGGATGAATCTATGAAGGTGACATCGATCATGAATGGACTCGGGCAATCATTGACCGATCTTTTAAAAGTTTTTTTTTATTGTTTTAAATATAAATATAAAATATTTATTATAATTTTGTATATTTAATTGTTTTTTAAATATTAAAAACTCTTTTGATGATTTAAAATATTAAATAAATAAATAATTTATTAATTTTATAATGTTATTATATATAGATTAAAATATTGGAAGGCTGTTAGCTCACAAATTCGACGTATCACACACACACACACACACATATATATATATATATATATATATATATATATATATATATATATATATATATATATATATATATATATATATATATATATATATATATATATATATATATATATATATATATATATATATATATATATATATATATATATATATATATATATATATATATATATATATATATATATATATATATATATATATATATTATATATATATATATATATATATATATATATATATATATATATATTAAAATATTGAAATAAAGATTGAAGTCTTTAGAAGGTTTTGAGGCATGAGAACTTCGACTAGGAAGTCAAATGTTGAAGGACTTAGAGAAAATTCTGAAACTTAAGGAAAGTGGCTTTCGACCGAGATGCTGGCTGGAGATTAGTGAAGTTTTGAAATTTAAATATTGGAGGGAGTAGTTATGCTTTCCTATGACTAATAGGGACAAGTGGCGTTCATTTGACAAAGGACTTCATGCAATGTGACACTTGTCGGAAGCTGATGGCCCTAGGAGGTTATTGGTAGTTATTTTTACTATTATAAATAGGAGTTTTAGACATAGAATTCGGTGTGTTGTAATTTACTATTTGTGCAATTCACTCCTAAATTTACTCAAAGTATCCAAGTGTAGAGAAAAAAGTATCAAGGAGAATGTACGTGTGATGTAAACACACCAATTTTACTTTTTAACAAAGTTTAATTTATTTGCTTAACTTTACAAAATTCATTTACTTTCCTTACAATCTGCCCCTTTTCTATGCAATTTATTTTTACCTTCATCCTCAACCCTCTTTTAAGATTTCTATCTCTTTCCCTCTAAAATTCTATCTTCTCTTTTACTTCAGTTGAATAAGCATTCTTATGATTAAAACCTTCTACCACAATATTGTCGAAGTGTGTAGCTTAGATAGATTTCAAACCACAATCTTTAGCACATGTCCTAGGATCAATCTGATGGATCCTGTGAGTCACCAAAGTTAGATTTGGAAGATCAACGGTTGTTTTCCATTTTTCAAGGGAAACAAAATGGCACGCCCAGTGGGACAGTGCCAAAAGATTTTTTTTTAGTGTTTGCAAAAATACATAAAACTACAGTCTATTTTGTGTTTCGTGAAAGGTTCGTTATATGTTAGTAAGAAGTGGCAAAATCGCCACTATAAACGAAGAAAGACCAAGAAGAGAGTATATTAGGGACATGGCGACAGATACAAATCAGCCAAACAACCCTAATTTCCGAGGAGATGGTTCTAACTCTCAACCTAGCACCATTAATCCTCACGAAGGTTCGAGAAACGACGTGGTTTCACCCTTAATACCTTCGACCGGAGAGCAAATAATGCCTCCTACAAGATTGGAACCAGTACCATCGGTATTGGGGTCTGGGTCATCAAGCGTAAAGACTTATACCCAGCTGGTGTTGGAATATATTGGACCTCAAGCGTCGAATCCCCAAACTCCGCCAAGAGGAAATTCGACGTCTAGACAGTTTGTCCCTCCAGGATTTTCACAACTATTACCAAGAAACCCTCCATATGGAATGCCAACAACTGTGATGCAAGGTCTCCAAAATGCTCCCCCGATATTCTCAGATAATGCAATGGCTTCGCCATTACAAGGATCAGGGTCTGGGGTTAACATTGGTCGAAACACCCAAAGTTTAGGCTTGGGATATTCCACACAGGGCCCTAGTCTAACCAATACTTCGGTTGCGTGTTTGAGACAGCAAATGGATGAAATCAATTTGCAAATGGATGAAATCAATTTGCAAATGGTCCAAACCTTGTCCCAAACCATGGGGGAAATATTTCAACCTTTGATCCAAAATACTACTCAAACCAACCAACAGTTAGCAGTACAATTGACACGGCTGGCTGAATTTACGGGTGTACCACCTGCTGTGAGGAACACGGCTACTGTGGAAAACATCCCACGACGGGACTTAGGAAACCCACCTGAGCCCAATTTAGAGAATCAAGAGAGGGTCGAACTCCCCAGGCTCGAACCACACAGAGTCAAACCACTAAGGGATCAAATACCAATCCCAAGGGAAAGGGACCCAGGGGTAATCATAGTAAATCGAAACCAAGACGCGGACAATGTTGTCCAACAGGTTCGACGTGATAACGTAGCTGTCGATAACAACTTAGCAACCATGGTCGAAAGGATGATGGCTCGAAATGGGGTAAACGATGGGTTCACTAGGCCAAATTATACGTCACCGATAGTGGATTATATCCTCCAAACAGAATTACCTCCTAGGACGAAGGTGCCTAAAAAGTTCTCAAGGGATAAGACGGAGTCCACCGTCGAACATGTGGCTCGTTATATAATCGAAGTCGGAGAGATAGCTAATGATGAGAGCCTTAGGAGAAAATACTTCCCTAGTTCTCTCACCAAAAATTCCTTTACCAGGTTCACGACTTTACCCCCTAACTCGGTTTGTAATTGGACCCAGTTAGAATGTTTGTTCCATGAACAGTTCTATATGGGGCAAACCAAGATTAGCCTAAAGGAACTAGCCAATGTGAAACGTAAGTTTTTTGAGCCAATAGAAGAGTACCTAAATAGGTTCTGGCTACTTAAGGCTAGATGTTTCACTCAAGTCCCTGAGCATGAGTTGGTCGAAATGGCCGCGCGGGGGGGGGGGGGGGGGGGGGGGGGGGGGGGGGCTCGATTACTCCATTAGAAAGAAATTAGACACCCAGTACTTAAGGGATATGGCTCAATTAGCCGATAGAGTTTGACAGCTAGAGCGTCTTAAAGACGAAAAAGCTAAATTCAATAAAAGCAAGAAAGTAGCTTATGTCGAATATAATGAAAATGTCGAAGGGGTGTGGGAAGACCCATTATACTTCGATAAGAAGGAAGTAGATGTTGCTGAACTTAAACAAGGTCCTCCCTACGCTTGTAAAGTGTTGGCTCCCCCACTTGGGAAAAGTTTTGTCGAATATGAAAAGAACGACAAATTCCCAAAGAAAACGTACACTTTCAATATCACGAAATGTGACGAAATTTTCGATTTGTTAGTTAAGGATGGGTAAATGATAGTACCACCTGGTGCTAAAATTCCATCTTTAGAGCAAAGGAAAAAGATAGGGTTTTGCAAATACCATAATTTCTGGGGTCATAAAACGTCTCAATGTTTTCTTTTCAGGGATTTGGTTCAAATTTACATCTAAGAAGGAAGATTGAAGTTTGGGGAAAAGGCCAGCAACCAGATGAAGGTCGACACAGACCCTCTACAAGTGGTGGACGCCCATTACGCGGAGCCTACGGAGGAAAATGTGGTCGAAGCTACTGGTGGCTACGATTTCTCGATCAATATGTTAGAGGTCACAGATGATTTTGTTAATGGAGTTGTACTGGCCAAGATCACTATGGGTTATGGGCAAGAGAACTTTTGGAGGAGGTTGTTGATGGCCTCGAACAGGGTGGTGATGATCCAAGTCAAAAAGACACCGAAAATTTAAGTTTGGTGATAGTGACCAAGGAAACTGCTGATAGTTTCGTTAAGATGGACCAGGCCACTAGAGGCCTGAAGCTGGACCTAAGTAAGCTAAATCTGGGAGAGGATGTCGACGTGAATATGGTAGAGATAACGATATATGAGACCATGGAGGATAATGAATCAGGTTGTCAAGAAGAACACGACAAACTAGCTTATCCAGGACACGGAGAGTCTATTGTCGAATTTCTCCACCACTGCCAAAAGAAGGGATCTAGTGTCATGATGTGTCCTAGGTGTAGTGCTATCTTCGACAAGAGACTCGAAGGGGGAAATTTATTAGCTCACAAATTCGACGCGTCACATATATATAGATTAAAATATTGAAATAAAGATTGAAGTCTTTAGAAGGTTTCGAGGCATGAGACCTTCGACTAGGAAGTCAAATGTTGAGGGACTTAGAAAAAATTCTAAAACTTAAGGAAAGTGGCTTTCGACTGAGATGCTGGCTGGAGATTAGTGAAGTTTTGAAATTTAAATGTTGGAGGGAGTAGTTATGATTTCGTATGACTAAGAGGGACATGTGGCGTTCGTTTGACAAAGGACTTCATGCAATGTGACACTTGTCGGAAGCTGATGGCCTTAGAAGATTATTGGTAGTTATTTTTACTATTATAAATAGGAGTCTTAGACATAGAATTCAGTGTGTTGTAATTTACTATTTTTGCAAGTCACTCCTAAATTTACCAAAGTATTCGAGTGTAGAGAAAAGAGTATCAAGGAGAATGTACGTGATGTAAACACACAAACTTTAATTTTCAATGAAGTTTAATTTATTTGCTTAACTTTACAAAGTTCATTTACTTTCCTTACAATCTGCCCTTTTTCTATGCAATTTATTTTTACCTTCATCCTCAACCCTCTTCTAAGATTTCTATCTCTTTCCCTCTAAAACTCTATCTTCTCTTTTACTTCAGTCGAATAAGCATTCTTATGATTAAAACCTTATACCACAATACTGTCGAAGTGTGTAGCTTAGATAGATTTTAAACCATAATTTTTACCGCATGTCCTAGGATCAATCTGATCGATCCTGTGAGTCACCAAAGTTAGATTTGGAAGATCAGCGGTTGTTTTCCATTTTTCAATGGAAACAAAGGCCCAATAAGACCCAAAGGCCTCCCTGTCAAGCAGAGACCTTTCTCCCGTCAGACAGGACCTTTTCTCCCGTCGGGCACGAAACCTTGGCAGTCGAGCAGGAACCTCACATCTGTCAGGCACGCTCTCTCTTCTGTCCCGCTGTCGGGCAGACCTTATCCAGCTCGGAGGGCTCCTCTGACCTCCCCTACATTCTCAACGTGTCCCCTACGCGGAGACACGTCATCTGATAACTACCTGTGTCCTGATTATTCGATTCTGCACCTCCCGGATAGCACGAAGCAGTTACACTAGGGCGAAGACCACGCACTAGTCTTCTTGATGCCATGTCAGCCCTAGCAATTACCAGCATTGGGCCTGGCAACCCAGCCCAACGCGAAGTAACAGTTGACCCTGCGTTGGGGACACACTATAAATACTCTCTTTCACTAGATGGTCAGGTAATCTCATTCTTACTTCTCTCTGTACTTGTTATCACTCTGTCCGACTCTTACTTTGACATCGGAGTGTGTTTCAGGTACACCCCCTCCATTCTCCCAACAATCAGACAGCTCAGACGCGTGGCCGGTCAATGACTCCTTTTGATCGGGTGAGATCAATCATTATTATGAATTAATTTTGTTTCTAATATATTTTATTTTAAATAAATTTTTAGTTTTAATTTTTAATTTTATATCAAATAGCACTTGTATATATATATTAAGATATGGAGGCGAGCACCCAAAAAAATTAAAAACATATGGAAGAAATATAAAATAAGGAACTTAAAATATATATTTTTTTAAATAAAATAACATAAATAGATAATCTGAAAGATAAAGAATGATAACACGTAACCAAAAATTTGGCGGTTGAGAAGCAACGACCACAACTACACACTCCTCTTGTATATTTTGTGACTCTCCCTTCGCTGTATCGGAAACAAAGAAAGAAACGTTGCGAATTGCGATGCCAGGTGGAGCCACCGTCTGCTCCGGTCACCGGTTTCAATGTCTTCCTCTTCTTCCACACTCAACTCGTCCCCAACTCACCAATTCAACTCGGTCTCGACTCGTTTCTGTTAACCCCCAATCCGTTTCATGTTTTCATACGAAGCTTTTCTTCAATTCCAATCGGTTTAGTGTTACTCTAACAAGAGCTGCTGATTCTTCAACCACCACAACTTCCCAATCTTCTGATGTTCCTAACAGTAGCATCACACTTGTTCCCGATGATGAAATCACAATTACTAAGGTAGAGAGATACTGCTTCTTTGAGTAATTTTGAATTGCTTTATTTGAGTTTATCTATTTAGGTTACTATATGTGAGATTCTTTCTGAGAGTTTTCGAAAATCTTAGTATACTTTTGCAGTTTTCACATCATTTTGAAAATAACTAGTTTTTTTTATATCTAAATACCTTTTGTATATGCATGTGTTTGATGACTAATGAGTTTTAAGACACGTAGAGTAAGTTGTACGGGAGAGAATGTTGGGTGGTTAAAAATAAACACGAGAATAAAGTAAGTGTACCAGAGATGAGGATGTTGCGTTGGATGTGTGGTAAGACTAAACAGAATAAAATCAGAAATGAAAATATTGAAGAGTGTTGGTTGGGGTAGCATCTATAGGAGAAAAAATGGGGGAAAATATACTTAGGCGGTTTGAGCATGTATAGAGAAGACGTGGAGAGGAGTTAAACAATTAGTGGTAGAGGAAAACCTAGAAAAATTATAAGATAAGCTATTAAGAAAGATCTCAAGATTAGCGATTTAGATAGAAACATGGTTCTAGATAGAACATTATGGCGGAAGTTGATCCTTGTAGCCAACCCCACTTATAGTGGGATAAGACTTGAGGCTTGATTGTAGTTGTTATTGTTGTATAGAGGAACTTACATTTAGGACAGAGTATTTTGGAGAAAATAGCTAAAGTTTGTGATGAATGATACGTAAGAGCATGTTTGGATGAACGTATTTGGGCTCCTAGTACTTTTTTAAGTGTTACAAAAAAGTTCATGAAAATATCTTATGACATGTTTGAAGTTTGTTTTGAGAGTCATTTTTGTAATAAGCTCCAGAAATAGATTCTATGAGTTGTATAGGTTATGCAAAAATTTCTCTCATTTTCTCTTGGTTGTAGAAATAGCTTATTTATCATGATAAGCACTTATTTCCTCAAAAGCTAGCTTAAAAAATGAAGGCCCTAAAGCACATATATACATTGCATAGTTCAGGAACTTTGGCTATGTGAGACAAATGCTATTTTAATATTCATGTCATAAGACAAGTTCAAATAAACTCTGACAAACACACTCATATTGAATATTTAGTTAGTTAAGTTGTTTTCACAAGCTCCCCCTAAGTATAATAAATCATCAAGTTATTCGAAACCAATTAGCCAAATTTAAAAATTACTACAATTGGATGCTGATAGATACATAGATATGATTTTCTTGAAAGTGAATTGTTAACAAATAATCTTGTGTATTTTATTATTGAGTGAAGTTTTCATGCTTATGATTATAAGGGTATTGTTCAATTCTTTCGGATTTCATTTGGTGTGATAGGACTAAGTCTTGGAGTCTCACTCTTGTCGTGAGTTTCATTTTCGTTTCCACTATCTTCATTGATATATAACTATGGTTTTGCATCTTCTTATGTTTTTCTTTTTATTTGTTTCAAATATGTAGCTACGGTTTTTCATCTTCTTATGTGTTTGTTTTTATTTTGTTTCAAATATGCAGCTATGGTTTTGGAGCATACTTTAATATTCTCCCTGGATCTGAATGGTCAGCTATAATGTTAACATATGGGTTCCCTCTTGCTATTATTGGCATGGCGCTCAAGGTGAATAATTGTGTTATGTGAATCAAATTATAAGATGGAGTTCATGATAACAACCTATGAAATACTTACACATCAAATTATAAGATGGAGTTCATGATAACAACCTATGAAATACTAACACAGACACTAAAACGGACATCATTAGACACTACCTTGACACTGGGGCCGTTTTTGAGTGTGTGCAAGGTGGGCTATAACATAGGGTCTCAAATTTTTCTCAGTTAAATTGTGGATGAATAGGGCATCATAATAGATTTGCTATGGTTAAACCATGACTAAATAGGGCCCCAAGTTATTTTGTCACGTTATTTTGTCACGGTTGAACGGTAGTTAATCTACACAGGGCCTCCAAAAACTCAAAACAACTCTGTCTGACACTGACACTGACACATAGACACTTGTAATAATTTGAGGAAATTGAAGTGAATGAATGCGAACAAATGTTTCAGACGGTAGGACACCGACACTAGTCGTACAATCAAACACACCTTCAATCTGAAGTGTAGGGGCTACATAGAGAACAATGTTGTGCAACGTAATCATGTTATAATTTCCCTTCCATTCGTGCCGCTGCTTCATGGTTTTATGCATTGGTTTTGGCGGATGCACTCTTTGTCTTTGCTTATATTTTCTTTTCGTTGGTCCGTCTTTTTTGCAGTATGCAGAACTCAAGCCAGTGCCATGCCTCACATATTCAGATGCTTTCAGATTGCAGGAAAAATGTGCAACTCCTATTCTTAAGCAGGTAATCTCATCATAAACGCATTCTTCTTGCCACATATTGTGTCATTTTAGATGTTTTTTGTGACATAGACTATTACCAATAGATTCAATCTTTCCTCTAATCACTTAAAGTGGCTCTTTTGTGCTTTTATAGGTGAAAAGTGATGTTACCAGGTTTCGCTACGGGGATGAGCAGCATTTAGAAGAAGCATTGAAACGGATTTTTCAGTATGGTCAAGTATGTTATTTGAATTTTTTAGGAACTGAATTACTTTCTGTATATTGTTGATTTCTCCGTTTTAATATTTTGAATAATCAAATGTTAGGCTGTCAGAGAAGCTCAAAAACATGGAACATAATATAAAAGTAACAAAATTGATTGGCTTTTTCTTGCATATGTTTCTTGCATATATTTACAAGCCTGCATCCACTTTCTTGTGGCACTGTTTGGACAAACAACTTAATTAAGCTCTTATAGCATAAATGCTTATTGTATAAGTGCTTATGTATAATCTATATCTATTTCTATAACAAGTGATAAAATACAAAACTATTTTAAGCTATAAGTTGTTTTAATAGGTTGTTCTAGAGAGGTTATGAAAATAAGCTGAAAACAACTTATGAGCATGTAATAAGTTGTTTTCATAAGTTCTTTCAAATAATCTGGCGAGTGACTATGTTAGTAGATAAAATCAAATAAACTAATCCAAACAGACTTTTAGGATGAATTGGTTCTGAACAGGAGCAAAAGTCTTCTTTTGTACTTTCTGATATCTTCATTCATACCAGCTGCATAAGCTAGATACTGAGGTTGCCACTATCTGCTCTTGTTGCAATTCTGAGACATCATTTTATATTCTTAATTTTTAAGGGAGGAGGAATTCCCAGAAGAAGTGCACCTGTTCTACAAATAATTCGTGAAGAGGTACGCTTGTCAATTTGCATTAATTCATTAACTAATGACGTAGTCAGTTTTTGAATTCTTGGGGTTGATTTGGTAGATTACTTTGAAATACCGAGAAATATTTTAATGTTGTAAATTTATGGTACAATTTGCATATTTATTTGTGTCGCTAGTTCATGTCTTTCCTTTCACACACAAATCATTCCTCTATCGATTAGAACTCAGGTTGTCTTTTTATTTAAGTCATTTGTATTTGGGAGTCACGTTGGAACCGGACCGGACCAATCCAAATAGGTTTGGTAAACCCTTTTAAGAGTGACAAAGTTGTTGTAGCACTCATTTTTGGGTTCACAAGGCTCAAGCCCAACATCTTGCTAACTCGGGTTGCCTTAAATTATTGTGAAGTAAGGTTAACCCAACATCTTCCAGTAATTTTTTGACTAGTTCAGGCTTATTGCATTTAGAATGGGCCTCAAAAGGCCATTTCAATCCAGTTCTTGCATGTTTGGATCAGCGGTGAGTTTGACTGAATCAGGTTGCCATCAGGATTTTGTCAAACTCACCACCAATCCAAAATGCACTTCACATATTATTTGAAGTTCACATAGTAGAAACACGTTTCTATTTCAGTTTTAATGCAACACGTGTGGTGGTTGTACTATTTTTCTATTGATCATCTCATTCTATGAAATATAGACGATTCCATAATACTCCTGAAATGATTGGCTCTAATAATCTATATCGTCATTCCCTTGTTGATATTGTCTCATAATATGCCTATATCTTAGGTCACACAAGATGGAAAATACTCTTTGGTCTTGGTCTTCGAGGCTAAGTCTCTGAAGTTGTCTGATTTTGAACAGAGACAGGTATTCAGTTTTGCTTTCTTAGATATATTTTTAATTACTTTGATTTTGTCTTCGCCTGTTACTTACCTCTTCATGACTATAATGAGATTCTATTTTTCATTTTTTGAGTAAAAAAGTGGTTGAAGCTTATATTACTCTTGCACAAAACTAGCTCATGGTTCAAAATATGATATCTGAACTTCAAAATTTCACAAAACAATTCTCAAGAGATCAAATATGTTCTTCAAATAGGATAGAGTTTGTTTTATGGTTAAGATTAAGAATGCTCCAAATGTATGTTTTCCAGAAGGAAAAACTTCTTTCATTGAAAAAAGTGCTTTGTCATTTGTTATTTTCTATTTGTGACTTATAAAAGTTAAACTAAACAAGCTTACGTTTGGATAAACAATTTAATTAAGCATTAATAGCATAAACATTATCATAGTGTGTACGTATAAGCTATTTTTATAACAAAGATATGGTCAAACTGTTTTCATATAAGCTATAAACTTCTTTTTAAGTTATCTTGGTGAACTTATAGAAATAAACGGAAAACAACAAATAGATATCTTCCGAGTTGTTTCTATAAGCTCTCTCAAACAGTTTTACAAGTGCTTATGTCGGTGGATTAGCTCAAAAAAATAAATTAAAACAGTCCTATTCATAATGGTATATAGACAGACAGAAAGCTTTAACCTTAGATGGTTGCGTATATTTTGTGTTACAGGCTAAATTTACTTCATTCTTTGGGCCTGGAATTACCGGAGAAGTTGGTGAGTAAAAATTTAAACAACTATGCTTATATGCCAAAAGAATAAATGCATTGTAACATAATCTTGTGTTGCAGATAAGGGCGAAAATGATTTTTACGAGGTTCGACTTATCTTCAATACAGACCCTAATGCAACTTCTTCATGATGTTCTTGATCATTTTATCCTCCTATTCCATGTTACTTGGTTCAGTTAATTACAAAGACTTAGGTCCTATAAAATATGTATAAAATTAAAAGGTATAGATTATTTTTTTCATGTATTATACTTTGACAGAGATTGAAAGAAAGGAAAAGCAGTTTAAAAGGAAGAGCCAATGAAAAACACATTATTTACATTGTTTTACATTTGATATATTGGAAATTATAAAACTAAAATTTGCTTGGGATGGATATGTTTGCAACATAGGGTCAGACTCTTGGAATAATCTTTGTACAATGACTAACAATAGTTAAAGGAAACACACTTAATAGTTATGATCTATTCTTAAACAGGTAGATTCATGTACATCTAGAAAACTCATCAAGTGATAAAATATGTCCTACAATTGAAGTTACTTGATTTGATTCCCATATATTAGAATGAATGACATCAAAAAGAGGACTGGCTTATGACTGTGTACTGACTGATAGGGAAGGAAGACCAAACATGTTTTATAAGCTGAATGGATTCACAATTTTAGGAGTGCAACTTAGATAAGTGAGAAACCATAAATCTAAACCTTTTAAGACATGAATGACCTAACTGATCATGCAGAAGTCTTGGAAACATTATAGTAGAAGTGCAAGTAACTGTAGATGAATACTGAAGGTAGTAAATCCCATGCTTCTTAATTCAATCATGTGTAACAAAAAAATCGAGAGTTAGAGTTATAAAATTGTCTTGACCTACTTATGTCTTCAAGAGTTTTTCCTTGTAATTTTTATCAAAAATAATTTGAGCTTTTATAAGATCAATCCACAAATCTTCAATATATATTGTACTTGTCAAAGGTACAGGTGTGCGTGGTATCCCTACAAAGGTAGGGGATACTCTGAGACTTTAGTAGTTTTATAACAGTTCGTAATGGTGAGAGATCATGTTTGGTGGTTTAAGAGGATCAGCTCACGTGAGGTGAGAGGCTATGTATATCATCATTATTTTGGGTAAAATGTGATATATTTTCTACCTTCAAAGAGTCAGATATTTATAGAGACTCTTGAGTCTAGCATTCAGGAAATCCTCAGAAGCAATAACTGCACCCCCTTAGTTGAAGGAGACTATTGACAACCTATTTTCTAAAAAGTCTTAGTATGACTCAATCTGCATGACTGGTGGAAGGATAATGGTATTGTACACGTGTCTTATTCTGAGGGCGAACCTCCATGCTACGTAAAGGTAACACCCAGGAGACACCACACAGGCGGAGATCTTTGTGTTCTCTTATTTGCGACTTTCACAAATATAAACACCACATAGTCCTTCAAACACGAGGGTTTGTAAAACGCGAAGTGCTTTAAGACTTATTTCATGATTTGTACCGTGGTCTAGGGCAAGTCTTTTGATAAGACTCAAGTATCTTGTTTTGGAGCATGACCCTTTTAAATGGGGGGAGATTCCTTCAGTCTAGGTTGAGACTCTCAGCTGAAAGCGGCCTTTTGAATGGGATGCGAGTCTCTTCGCTTGGGACAAGTCCCTCAACTGATGATAACCTTTTGAAAGAGAGGCGAGTCCCACAGTTTGGAGAGAGAGCCCTCAGCTAAAGACAACCTTTTGAATGGGACGCGAGTCCCTTAGTTTGGGGCGAGTCCCTCAGCTGAAGACGACCTTTTGAATGAGAGGCAAGTTCTTTTTATATTAGGATAAGCCCCTTAGTTGGAGGTGATATCAGATATCTATTGATTAACTAGGATGTCAGTTGGAGATGTCAAACATCAATTATTAAAACAGTTATGCTTGCTTCTATTTAATGCAAAGAATGATGGCCTATTTTTTGGGACACTAAACTCCAATGCCACGTGCTAGAAGCGTGTTGAAGTTTTCGAAATTCTGAGGGAGCCTAAAAGGTTTCTTGTGATTTTAACACTTATAAAATTTTCTCCTTTTATTTTCTTGCTCTATTTTGTTCTTAAGACTTCTGCAAGCTCTTCCACAATCTTTCCAACTTTTTTACAAGCTCCTGATTCCTCGTTTTCAACCCTCTCAGACATGATTTTTTTTAATTATTCCTTCTATTTTTTAGTAGTTGTTAGTAGTGATTGTAAGGAAACGGTTCGAAATAGAGTTTAGCTTAGCGTAAATCCGTGAGATTTGAAGATTATAGTCATCCCTTTGACGATTATTGTAACACCCTTTTCTACCCCAAAAATATAATGGCAAATCAATCATATTTATCAGAGTAAAATATTGAACACAATAAATTCATCTCAAACGGGCGCACATTTCTCAAAAATTCAAATATAGTCAATGTTCCGTAAACAACGGATTTTTCCAAAATTTACTCAAAATATTACTTAAAGGCAGCAGAACTCAAAAAGGCAAAAATCCAAAGTTTTTCTTGCGCAACAACATAATCAATAAAACATGGTTTAACTCAAAGACCCCAATCTGATGTTACACTATCAGAGTAAGACCCTCTAAGTCAACCACAATGGCCAACGACCCAAAAACTTCAAAAGGTCATCAACGACATCCACGGCTAAACCTGATCATCTGCACGTTACCCACGTGGAAGCAACATTCAAACAGGCAGGGTGAGTAAAATGATTCATAATAATCAATATAAGAATCAATGTATAAAATGGCGTTATTCTCATATTCAACATCATCATAATCATCAAGGAACATCAGATGCCACAACATTATAAATTACACTAAATTGTCACATGGATGCAAATGCAACAAGACTCATGCATGTGGTACCAATCAACAAAATTCGATGGACACTAGGCCATCAATCCTCCATAGACCCACAACAGTAGGATTGATTCTACACGAGAACCGGAGCATAACAAAATACCTCACATCTACACAATGGGACTGAAGTCACAAGAATTAAGGTCCTGAACCGAAGTCCGGAATGCATATGAATGCATGATGCACACGTCAATATCATCATCATAATAAAACCATTAGGTGCATCATCATTCATCAAAATCATCACAACAATCATGTCATCATAAAATCATCAAAATCTCATGAAATCAACATCATAAATCATCACAATTACTCATGGGAATTCATCATACAGTCATGTATTAATCTCATAAAAACCACAATTATACTCATGGTAATTCATCGAAGAAATCACAGCATCAAAACATCAAGACATCACTGCACAAGATCAGAATTCGCGAAACTCTGCTACATTCGCTAGCAAGTTCGCTGTGCGAGTCTGGGACGAATGTTCGTCGTGCGAAGGATTCTTCGCTGTGAGAACTCGCGATTATAGCAAATCGCTGTTACGCACCAGTACCAAAGTCAGTCCAAAGGTCCATACGATTTCCTTCCTCAATGTCCCAAAAACATCCCTAAATCATTCCTAAGGTATTACGGCGATAAAGACACAAAATCTACGACTTATTAGGCCAATCCCGTATCATATTTACGCCTTTAATTCCCATAATTTCTTACAACTACACCACAATCATTAAAGTTGTCACAACCAATTACCCTATACGGTTAAAACCTTAACAACAGATTCTGGCCACGAAGGCCTAATTTCCCTTACTCCCAAATCAGCCTCGAACCTATCAGACCATCAGTTGAAATCCCTCAAACTCATTGAACTCATCACCAGAAAGGCAACAACAATTCAATACTAAAAAATTCCTAAACCTTTAAATCAGCTTTAAACACATTGAATCACATATTGAAAACAATGAAGGTAATACTTCTCATACCTTAATTGCTGACTCTAAGCCTTTCTCTTTGATTCTTGGAACCCTTGTGAAACTTTTGCCTCAATCCTCTTTCTCAGAGCTCTGACCTCTATTTCTTCCCTTTTCACGCTCTAACAAGAATGAATCCTAACTCCATCAACATTCCTTTTTGTTAATACTAACTTTGGGCCTTAAAATTGGATTTTCCAACTTCACCCTCACTAACTCCTCCTCAAATATCCACTTTGCCCTTAATTCACTTATATTTATTTAAATTAATAATAATACCAATATATTCATATTATATACTATTATTTAAATAAATAACTCAAAACTCCATAATTCTCAATATTCACACCAACCACCGAGAATCACCAAAAAATATGAATATTCATATTTAAATAAATTAAACAAATATTTCAAGAATTTGGGGTGTTACAATTATGGCAGTGGCGGTGACTTCTTTTTGTTCTTATACTTTTCCATGAATAAAAGGATGATGGTTGCCCCTTCCTTCGTGCCTAAGGATGCCAAGGACATTGGACTTTGCTATACTTTTGACGAACAAATTCTCTCTTTTCAAACAGAAGTGAGTGTTTCTTCCTCAGAAGATGAAGGGTGATTATCCTAGAGGTTTGTGCACCATCAGAGAGGGTACCATACCTGTCTCTCTTGATCCTTCTCCTTTATTTCTACTTCAATCCCCACTTTATCAAGGATATTAGGATTTTTTTTCCCTTTTCCTCTTTTGTCGTGGAGGTCCTGAAGGTTCTTAATGACACACATTCTTAGTTGTTTCCTTAAAATTTAAGTTTGATCAGGCCTTTGAGATGGTATGTGAAAGTTTGGAAATTTCCCCTGCTGTGGGGATGTTTTTCTCATTTTATGCTACCAGATCTTCAAGAGGCGGCATGGTTTCTTTAGGGGGTCTTTTGAGAATGGACCCTTTTAAGTCTCACTCCAACCATTACAAGAATTGGAGAGAGAATTTTTCTCAAGTGTGGGGGCGAGAGGACTCTCTCGTAGTGTAAGGGATGATGACGTCCACTTTTTTCCCTTGGCATGGACGGATGAACTTGTGGCGATCGCGGGATATGATAATAAGTATCTTATCCTGGAGAGGAGAAGATAGTTCACCTCCTAGGGAAGCTTGAGGTCATGGATTCATGCACAAAAATTGATTTTTGGCTGAAGGGCGATGGTTACCTCGGTGATTACCTGGATAAGTTTTGAATAATCCGACGCTGTTATGGGTATTTTCCAATAGCGCATGTAACCCGTGTGCAT